TAATCCACCTCCACACTGTGACTCCTACTCTGAACATCAGGCATAATGGGTCCTGGTCCTCGCACCGCTGCCCGGACAGTGTCTGGGTCCCGGGCACCGGACCGCCACCAGAGTCCAGAGTCAACTGGTAGCATTTCCATGATAAATTATACACACAGTATCATGCAGGAATTGATATATTAAACGGTTATTCTAAGTCTCACCAGGCTGCCTGCTAATTAACCACCAAGGGGGGACCATGCAGGGAGCTCTATTACAGTTTCTTAGTTCCCTGAGCATAGTGCAACCACATCTAATGCAGCACTAGTGCTATGCTTTTTGGGGACAAAGTTGGGACTGAACCCTAAAACCAAACACCTCAGGCAGGCAATCATATAGCAACGTTCAGAAATAATTCATTCTCAAAGGTTGATTGGGATGAAAATGTTAAGCATACCCCCAAACACTGGCATACAGAGAAGTGTAATGTTGGTGGGAGAGGGGGTGGGGAGGTAACAAAGAGGCCTGTTGCAAAGAGGAAAAGAGGACAGGTCCATCCAAAGTATTCTTAATCCTGGCATAAATGCATGCCAGGCTTCCTGTTAATCAAGCAGGCCAGCCCATTTAAGACACTGTTTCAACTCTGCATCTAATGATGCACTCTCGCTAGACTTTTTGGGGACAGTTCCATGGTGTCTCCAAAAGTGGGAGATCATGGACCAAAGTCAGGACAGGACCCACATTTGGGACTATCCCACAAAAATAAGGATGGCATGGGTTAGAAAAAAAAAAGTGAGGGTAAGCCTGAGCAGAGGGGACACATTTTAGAGAGACAAATAGGTATTTGAAAGCAGAAATAATGGTGTGGAGTCTTGGAATCTATGTAACTTTTATAAAAAATTATAAGAACATTGGTAACTTTATAGGTTATTTGCTCTAAGAACAGCAAAACAAGTTATTTAAACATATGTAAAACCTAGCTTTAAGCAACTGTCTGGAATATACTAAGAAGTCATTGCAGCCTTAAAATGCCCAGAGTAGTATCGTAATTACTGGTCATTAGATCCACACCCTGACATTCTTATTATTATAGTCTTGTGGCAATTTAGAAAGCTGCAATTTTAAAAATCCTCTTACATATAAGCAGGTTCTTAGACTTTTTTACATTTACATTTGGCACTGTGCGGATCAAAAATTGTATTTATTATTGTAGGCTAATATTTCAGAATTATTGCATGGTAAGTGTTATACTATTATATCTAATCTAATTGAACCTATGTATGATAATTCAAAATTGTGTACAATTGAAAAAGTTAACATTTTAATTTATTCCTGTATACTAAAAGGCTATCTTTAAGACTTTTAACCCCTTAAGAACACATTATATGTGTGACATGTCATGATTCCCTTTTATTCCAGAAGTTTGGTCCTTAAGGGGTTAAAGACTGTGATATTTTTTTTTATTTTTTATCCAAGTGCCAATATTTTTATCTAAACCTATTGCTGTCCATTTGTATAAAAAAAACCACTTGTATAATTACAATCAGTGTGGAGCTGTAGTAAACAGCAAAATACGGATTTATACTTTTTATTTCTTTGCAGAACACAATTGAGCTAGTTTGACATGTTCGGTCCTTCAAAAAGGATAATTGCATTATTGACCAAATTGAATGTCTGAATATTGTTCCTTAATAAACCTTTAAATCATTGAACCACTTCAGAAGTTAAACTTATGGGTCTGCAATGGTGATTTTACTGGAATGAGATGTGCTTCTAGATTAAATGAACTATTAAATGTATCATAGGAAGGCACATAAGGCAATTTCAATAACGTTGGGTGGCCTCTAAAATAAGTTTCTTTGAAAGAAGCATTTGTATCTAAAAATCTTTTTATGGCATTACATACCTCATTTTCTTTTCTGGATTGAGGTAGAACAGATCTGACATCAACTCTATAAGTATGTATGAAATTAAAGTTGCATTAAAGAAGTCTTCAAGGTCAGGTGGTATGTACTTATGGGTAATTAGGGAGCTTAGCCAGAAAAATAGAGAGTTGTGCTTCTAGGTTTAATATAAATACATTCACTGTATTTGCGGGTGATCACTACCCTGATACTTCCGTGGTGATTTGAAATATGCACTTTTTTTTTTTTTCATGATGCTAAGTAAATTTTCAAGTACAAATAATTGTGGGAAGACTTACACTGCAAGATGGGGGCCTGTATCAGGTCAATCTAAAAGCAATAGATCAATATATAACGATTCTATAACGATTCTTTGAAAACCGAAAAAAAAAATGTCATCCAAAATGTAATTTACTTTAAATTTATGCTTGCACGTGATATGCGAAAGGGATTATTTTTAGGACATTTTACTGGAAATGTAATATGCTCTCTCTTTTTGTTAGGTACTTGTTTTTTTTTTTTTACTTCTATATGCAAATAGATGCAATTCCCATTGTTTTTTATTTTTATGTATTTATCACATATCTTGTCACATGATGTACATTTTATGTCACACAACACTTTTTATTTTCACGATTTTAATACGATTTTGATGCAAATTAAAATATAATACTCAGGATAGACCTGACCTTTTGGGTCATTTACATTGGAAAATGCACAGGCAGTGAAAAGTTTGAAAGAATTATTCTGTGAGGGGAAAATTTCTCTTTTTTAGAAAGTCATCCTGTTATGAATTGTGCCGACGCCATTTTGTAAGAATTATATTTGAACTGTTCTCTAGAACTTTCTGGATTCCTGAGATGTGTCATTCAGATTTCAGGGAGAGTGAGGGATGGAGACCATTAAAGATGGGCTAACACATGCAAGTGTCTTTTCTCGGGCAGATACCTGTCTCAGTATGTGTTTTACCAGAAGCTGTTGCAGTGATTATATATCCAGAACAATGAATTGCTCTTTACAGCTTTCTCCTGTTTTTAACTTTTTTTCTGCCCAGGAATAGATATTGTTACAGGGACACTATGGGAAATTCATTAGAAATGACAACATTTAATAAAACATTAGAAATCACCTTTAACTTGTCTTAATCATTTTTATGTAAAGCTGTGTTTATTTTAAGTGAATGTGCCTGCTTGTTTCCACGGTGAATACCCAACTTTTAATACTATGTACCAATTTTAGATTGCAACACGTTGCTTCTGTTTCTCCTCCTGTTTTATGTTCTCTCTATGCTGATGGGCTGGAGTTTTTACAACAATGATTGACAGGAAACCAAGATGGTGGCATTCAGTTCTAGGATAGAGGTAAAACAGCAATATGTAGTTCTACATTTAAAGTGGCTTGCTCAATACACCTTCAATTCTTCGAAGCTGGTATTTTGTAGGTTGTGTTCTTTTGTACTTTGGCAACAATTGCCAAAGGGCAGAGCTTAGGTCATGTTCTCTTTCTGTAACTACGTCTTTTTCCTATAATTCTCGCCTTGGTATTTCCTGTAATAAAAACTTGCATCACCTCCTTACTCTGAACAAGTGATACATATTTCTCTAATTCTGTATGATGTGCACTGTGAAGTGGGCAACAAGTGCCCACTGAAGGGCAGATGAAGCTGGGAAGCTTGTGTATTTATAGAAGGAGATGAAAGTGGAAAATTAAAAGGAGATCGTGCAGACCTCAATACTCCCACATAGAAAAAAAAAAAAACAATTCAATTAGGTGACAACAAAAAATATTTATGAAGTGAATGTCCATAACGTGGACACCAAAAAAAGGGGTAGGGAGAGGTGGGGGAATGAAGTTGAGGCTACATAACTTTCATATTAATTTTTTGCAGACCTAATTGTTATTAGGTTACTTGGCACCTGGGGCAACATTTTTGGTGTGTGGTGCTAAATGTCATGTGTGTATCACCTGATCCCCTCTATAACTTTATGTATCTCTCCTAATCCTCCAACCTTACTACGATAAAGGTGCACACTGAAAACACACTACAACAGTTTTTGTACATAACCCTCTAAATGTCTTTAAGAAGACAGTTACACCACTACATATCATCAGGTGAACTCTTATTAATGGTTCTACATCACTTGAGATTCCATGAATGCAGTCCATCAAAGAACTGCTATCATGACAAGAGTGTTGCTAGATTACAGAAACACCTGGGGTTTGGGCCCAAAAGGAAAATTTGATGACCCCCTACATGACTGATTCCTGCCTTTCTGTGCTATGTCCCTGTTGTTTTATACCCATGAAAAGTGTACTGTGGCTAATCCCCAAGATGTCAATGAAATCTCAGCCAGAAACAAGCACATACTGCACACCCAGGTTTTACATGCAATTCTGTCATGGGTGTGCAGCAAACTTCTGTTTTCCAGTACCCCTTCCTGACTGTTACCTGGGGGTACAACACCACCTCGCCCTAAGTAGCATGACAGAGCACTAGAATACTGACATAACTTTTTATAAAAGGTGGCCGCTTGAGGAAGCAGCTGATTGATGTGAAATAAATAATAATAAAACACTTATTTCCTCCTGCTCCCTCCACCGACTGTAAAGATCCAAGGTCTCACAGCCTCGTCACTAGCAATGTCTATGATTATGACAATGACATTTTAGAGGGATAGTGATTTAAAGTGACAATTAAAGTGCAGCAATGTGTTCAAAAAACTATGGTGGATTGGTGGATTTGTGGATGTGTGTGTGTGTATGTATGTATGTATGTATGTGTATATATGTGTGTGTATATGTATGTATGTGTATGTGTGTGTGTATATATATGTATATATATGTATATATATATATATATATATATATATATATATATATATATATATATATTATATATATTTAAAAAAAAAAAAAAAAAAGGAAGCCACCGGTTTGTGATGTTCACTGCGCCTGGGTATAAACTTCATCATTGAATACTATAAACGAAATTATATCGGTGAGGAGAATTTGAGAGCAAAGTAAAATCTTGTTAGCTGCTTTATTTAGGTTGTTTAACTTGTAGTATGACCAATACACCACTAGGGGTCTCTTTACCATGTTCATCCAAAACGCACGGTCTGCTCCAGGACCAGGATTGTAAAGGAAAATTCACACATAAGAGTGAAAAGCCATGAAGTTGGAGCAGAAAGTTTGGGACTTGTGATGAAAAGACACGTAGAGCTAAAGATACAAAACCTGTAAAACATGAAACGCAGGAGGCAAGGATTGTGAGCAGCTGCCATGAACAGAGAGGATCCTTAACAGGTATGGGGATTAGCTCCCAAATACATGAGGTGGAACCTAACACACTGCATGCAGTCCTGGCTGGCACAGGAACATGCTAAGATATTAAAACTTACTTTAGCTTTTGGAGGCTGGATGGAGCGCTGGGTTACTGTAAATTGTACCTCTAGCCACAAACACATCCTGTAATGTGCTGCTGTTCACAATTAGTAACACTGTTCAGGAGAGCTTAATGTTTGTTTTTTAACATTTTAAATGATGGCTATGTATAGAACTTATACAAACTGATGGGGAACGTGGGGAGTGCTCCCTGCAGAATGTAGAATTCAAATGCAGCATGTGTTGTCTACCATCATAATGACATGGTGTGTCCAAGGATATATGGTGGGTTTGGCATCCCTAACTATATAGCAATGAGAGGTGCCAAAAATATGGTCCCTTTAACGCTTCTAAACAATGAATCCTGTACAGAGACTTTCATTGATATGGAACCCTGCACAGACTTCTTTAAAACGGCAGTTTGTCTAAAAAAAAAAATGCTCCATAAGAAAAGTTAGTTTTATTCACAGACACTGTATCTGTGACTGATATTTAATTTGCAAACAGACATAAAATGTATCATATATGTGTTAGTTAATCTAACTCCTTGTCTCTCATCGTATATTAAAGAAACACTGCATGCATCAAAACAGCCTCTTCTAAGTGAAGTTGTTATGGTGCCAGGAGTCCCAGAGTAAATTTTTACCTTTAGGGGTTAAACGGTTTAACCCCAAAGTTGCCTCCAGCAAGTAATCTCAGCTCCTCCCCTGGCTGCATCCGGCTTCTGAAATTTCAGATTCAGGAAGCTCAGAGTGCGGCTGGACAGGGGCACTGCTGATTCGCTGGGAGTCAATCAGTGACTCCTAATTCACAAAACTCGCTTGGAAAGAAACAGACCTTTTCCATAGCCAGTTTTGTGAATGGCGAGTCACTCATTGGCTGCCCTGTTGGGCATTATTCATTAGGTCTCCTTTAAATAGAAAGGGACACTCCGTGTAATAAACCCACTAACAACTAGAAAAAGTGCAGAGGATGGCTACAAAATTAACAAGGTTAATGAAGAAATGTTACCAAATTTAATCTTTTTAGTTTGGATTAACAGGGCCTCAGGGTTGATATGATAGCGTTATACAAATATATTCAGGGCCAATACAAACCATTGTCTGGAAATCTATTCCTAAACAGGACTATACATAGAACACAAGGTCGTGCATTTAGACTAGAAGAAAAGAGATTTAGTGTAAGGCAAAGGAAGATTTTTACTTTTTATATAGGAAGAACTATAAGGATATGGAATTCTCTGCCTGAAGAGGTGGTTCTATCAAAGTCTATACAGATGTTTAATCAGCAATTGGATAAATACATGCAAAAACATAATATACAGCGATATCATTTTTAATTAGTAGGGTAATAGCTTCTTAATCTAAGCAGATATCTTCTGCTATTTTGGGGTTAAGAATGATTAACTAGTTGCTATATTAGATGTGCTTCAGACTAGTTTTTTTGCCTTCTTTTGGATCAACAGTAAAAATAAATGTGAGAAGGGCTGAACTTGATGGATGCATGTCTCTTTCCTGCTATGTAACCTATTGTAATGTTATGATGAAGGGATATCCTTGAGGCAATCTCTGATTTTGGTCAAAAGGTTTTGAAGCAGGTTGACAAACAGCCGTAGTTTTATGTGCACCCAAAGCCAAATTTCTCTGTTTGGACAACCATTTTCAGCAGACATTATTTGTATTGTGTGTATATATGGTGAATGAGTGGTTGATTTGACAGTTTGTGTGAATTTGGTTGGATTGCATGTGGGGTTTGTACTGCTGAATCCAAACTTTTAAATGGAGTAAGAAAGAGGCTTTGTATATAATGAACTCTCATTTACTGCTGACCACAATTTGTGAATTAATACAGCTGTCCTGTTTGCAGTAGGAAGTATACACATATTTTTTTCAGAGTGAATATTAATGAAAAACAAAAACAAAGTTGTGCAAATAAAGAATTTGTGATTTAATTTTGTCAATATTTACAGTATTTTATTAACTGATGGTTCTGGGAGAACGTTTTAAATTATGTTATATATTTACATATAGGAACTTAGGTGAATAATAAACGTAATTGATGAAGAGGACATCTTTTTCAAAATGTAATTGATGGGGAGCTACTCTTCTTTTTCAATGCCCCCTAAAGTGTCACCCTTATCTTAATTCTCACTTCCATTGCCTCTCTTCTTTTGCTGAACTCCCAACCAAGGGGCACCCTTTTTTCAATTCTATCTTCCATTCCCCCTCTTCTTTATCAGTGTCTACCTAGCAGGGCTGGTGCAAGGTAGCTCACAGCTACTTTATCATAGCCCCATATCCCCCCACCACTTTGGGCCAGTGGGGGATATTTGGGTCCACACTGTGAAAGCTCTCTGCAGGAGTGGATAAGTCACCTGCAAGCTCTGAGACCACTCAGAATGCATTCAGGCTAAGTTTGATGGGCTGTGTCAGGAGTTCTGGCACTGTATATGCCTTCATTTTTGCTGCCTCAACTAGCTTGTCCCACAGCTGCTGTATGAAACAGCTCCAGCACATTATCCCTCCTCCGGTTTGGGGGCCCCATGTGGAGAAGCACCCACTCTGCCATTCACTCACCTGGGAGTCTCCCCCTGTCTATGAGAACCTGCTGGCTTTCAATCTTGCATAACATAAGGAAATGGTTCCTACTTCAGCCTTGGATTGCAGTGGTGAGGAGAACTGTAAGAATAGACTGACCTATCTTGGCATATTTCTGGAGTTTGGCTATCCTGACAGTGTGGATAGCAACAAGTGGCGAAGCAGTATCCGACATAGAGATACACAATATTGTGGCTTACATGCAGCGTAGCGTGACTGGAGGCAGACACTCTTCATTCTTTTTATTACGTTAATCAAGTGGCATTTCAGTTTATTTTGTTTTACCCAGAGTATTGCATACGATAGAAAGACTAACTCTACATGTCTTTTCCTCCTGCTCTTGCTTACTCAATCTTTAGCCTGATGAGCATATAGACATGTCTCACTAGCCTGATGAATATTGTGCAAAATGTAAATACACATAACTAGGTATAGTTATCAGGGCCGGACTGGGGATACAAAGCAGCCCTGGAAAAAAAATCTATGCCAGCCCCATAAGTCATTGCACCACATATTGTTGCATGTAATATGTAAGGCTATGTCTTGCCATCAAAATATATCAAATATATATTGCTTTTTCTAATCTAAAATATTGGTCCTTTCAGAGTAAAACGTTTAATTATACAGTAAGCATACTCACATGCAGACACAGACAATCTCACTGACACACACAAACCCATTGATACACAGCCTCATAGACAATCTCACTGATATACATAAGCTTATTGACGTCATATTCCGGCCCCGGTCTCATTAAGTAGCGTGCGAGGTTGGGGGAGCAGAGACAGCACAGCTCCCCCTGCAGCCACCAGCAAAGCTGAAAGCTCCCCCTGCGGCCGCCAGCACAGCCAGCCAAATTTCCCGGTATCCCAATGGGCCAGTCCGTCCCTGATTATGTGTATTTCAGTTTTGCACAACATTCTTCTTTTTCTATTTTAACGGTGCAGTCAGTGCGACATTTCATGGAACACTTTGTCATGTTTATCATCTTATATACCCCTGTTGACATGTCTACACAATGCTGGCACTTTCTTTATGCACTAAAAAAAAAAAATGTAAAAACAAATTATTTTTGCTAATCCAGACTAGAGGTATTCGGACTACAGTGAAACCCTCCAATGTCTCCATCTTAACTAGCTTCTGATTGATTAACTTTATGTTAATTTAAAGGGACACTATAGTCACTAGAATAACTACAGCTTATTGTATTTGTTCTGGTGAGTAGAATCATTCCCTTCAGGCTTTTCGCAGTAAACACTGTCTTTCCAGAGAAAATGCAGTGTTTACATTACAGCCTAGTGATAACTCCACTGGCAACTCCTCAGATGGCTACTAGAGGTGCTTCTAGGGGCAGTGCTGCACAGTGAGCAGCACTGCCATTCATTGTCTCCACCCTCTGCATGAGGAGATACTGATTGGTCAGGGATGTGTTTGGCTTGTGCTGGCACTGCCCCCTGATTTGCCTTCTTGGCAGTCTAAACCAATCTTATGGGAAAGCATTTTGATTGGCTGAGTTTAACACTTCTGATGATGTCAGCCAAGTAGGCAGATCAGGGGCAGAGCAAGCAGCTGCAGACTTGAACAAAAGTAAGATTTTACTATATATAGGAGGTTAAGGGGGAACCAGGGGGCTAGATGGTGGTTTTAACACTAGTGGGTCAGGAATACATGTTTGTGTTCCTGACCCTATTGTATTGTTTGTGCTCATGGCCCTATAGTATTCCTTTTAAGCAAGCATTACTATCCTTTGAAGTAAAGTTTAATCAGAAGGTTTACAAACCGTTTGTTTGTTTGTTCTATGCTGCTTTTCATAAATTTTAACTGTTTGTGTTACACCTTTGTGGACCTATGTTGGCCAATCAAATTTATAGTCTTATTTCTTTTTGTATTTTTTATTTCTCAGGCTGGACTACTATCAGTACAGTTTCTCACTGTAGTCAAGGGTTAGATCTAAACCCGATACAATGAAATGTCCACCTATGATTGGAAATTATCCATGTTTTTCAAGTTTTTTTTTTTAAATAAGTTTATTTTTTTTATTGATAGAATTTTTTTATTTTTTTTTATGTACACTTAATTGACAAAACAATGTAACAAAGACATTATGACTAAGTACACAACATACAAAGCATTAACAACCATCATGGGTTATAATGAACCTTACAATAATTTTTATTGTAATTCAAAAATTAATTTGGTTGTGCAGTAGAGGAACAAGTGTTTTTTTTTTTTTTGCCCCTTTAATCAAGTCATTGTACAACTGAGAGATTAAAAAGTTATTGTTAATGTAGAGACTAATATATTTCATTTTCCATCTGAAATAAAAAAAATTTAAGTTGACACTCACAAGGGAAACTAACTTTTTCCATTGTCTGTCTACCATTAAACAATGTGTGATTGATATAGTATTCCTTTGGTTCATTTTATTCCAGCCAACGTGCAATAGGACAAACTCAGATTTCATTGCTAATGAAATATTAGTCATGGCCCGAATCAGATCATAAATCTTCTCCAAAAAATACCTGATGTGAGGATAACTCCACCAAATGTATAAGACAGGTCCTTCCTTTTCAGTATCTCTCACAAAGTGCTGCATGTACTGATGACATCTTGGCTAATTGTGCAGACACTAAATACCACCTTGTGTTTCTAAAATGCCTAAGGAGTGGATTGTCTTTTTTTTTTTTTTTTTTATTTCAAGAGAAGAATTGGCACCACTCACTATTAGTGATCGAGATATTAGGAACAATTTCCTATTTTCTTAGGGATGAAGATATGATCTGGTTTTGCAGTCACTCTCAGTAGGGTCTTCGACTCCCCTCTCCCCAAACCCCCCAAACTTTTGTATCTCTAAAACTGTTAAAAACTTAATCAAATGCTTTCCTATGGAGAAAAATGAGGATGTCCAGTGTCAGATACTGGACCAAAGGTCTGTTTCAAACGATGATGCACTCCTCTGTGACTGCAATTGTTTAACATTGCAGCACTAAGGGCAATAGGGACACTGTACCCAGACCACTTCAATGAGGTGAAGTGGTTTGGGTGCCTATAGTGTCCCTTTAACAAATCATGATCTGACCAAGTATTGTCTTTGATTTCAATATTTTTAATAAGTTTGATTAGACAGGTATCTCCCAAACACATATCAAGTCTTGGTGAGGAACCATGCACTTTTGATCTATGTATAAAATCTTGTTTCTACGGATGGAAAAGTCTCAACTGTCATGCAAGTCAAACTTTCTACATAATTTATTAAGGGAAATAGATTGTTTTACTACACTTTTGTCTAACTTCTGATCTACAAATAATAATTTGTCCTGCATGGGGTCGGCTACACAGTTAAAGTCATCAGCTAATAACAGAAAACATTTCCTAACAGGAACTACCAGTGTGAAATAGTGTCCATTAATTTGACAGACTAGCATAATATACCTTCCTTCTGGGTCGCTTCTATGATATATGTATTCATATTTAACTGTACTAGATATTATTATAGTAACACCACATTTCATTTTGATTTTTAAGGTATAAATATATGGAAATTTTTTGATCTCTTCTGATCTCTAGGAGTGTGTTATATAGAAATATACATATAGAAAACCTCTCTTTTGTGGGGAGTTTAGTCTCTGAACGTTTATTGATAACTGATTAATCATCTAATGCCTCGTTTCCACTGAGCGGTATGGTTCGGGTCGGTATGGTTATGAAGGGTTAGAATGGTCCAGCTTATTCAGGTGAGCGTTTCCGCTGCAAGTCAAACCGCCAGGGGGCATGCAGGGTTTAGACCAAATGCCTAGCGTGTCATTTGTCGTGAGCATTGACGTTTTCCTGTCCGCCAATCAATGGATTGTATAGTGTCCGCCCTAACCGTACCGTACCATTTCCTATGGCCCTACATCTGAAGGGGGCCCAGGAATTATGCGGTTTGGTTCGGTTATATGGGCCACTTTTATAATGGAAACACTCAAAATAGCGTACCAGACCAAACCGACCGAACTGTACCGCTCAGTGGAAACGAGGCATTACTACACCAAAGCAATAGTAGGTATCCATAGTCACGATGGCGTATAAAAACCAAAACAACATACCGGTATATAAAAACAAAAATGTTATTAAAATCATAATACAATTTAATACAAAAGACAAATATTGTCAAGGATAGCTATCCCACAACTATCAATGACTATTAGGTGTGACCCAATAAACCTAATATTGATGTACAAAAATTGTACACACAGGGAGGAGATTGAGTATGAGGCCAAAAAAAAGCAGATCTAGGTGGTTAATTCTTCTACCTTGTATCCTAAAGATTTTTCACAAATTCAGCATTGCAGCATAACTAAACACAGCTCTTCTTTATTTTTTTTTTATCCCTTACTCTCCTCAGCCTATTCTTATGTAGCTTCTTCCTTCTCCTGTACTATTTACTTTCCATTAATTTAGAATATCATTAAGAAGACAACATTCTTAATTTGAGTTTTATTAAATGACGTTATTATGTTTAAGCCAATTTGTAGCGGAGCTGCAATGCTGAGAATCCTCTGGAGCTGGAAGGAAAGCGCTGGCTGGTGGATATAGCCCATTCCCCCAGTAACTGGACGACATACAGTTCAGGGAGTCAACTGATTTTTATTAGCCCACACACGGCTTTTATGCACAGCCCCATAGTATGGGGTCTCTAAAGCAAGTTTACAGGGGATTTTCCTAAGAGTCTGAGAGATAATTGAGCTGGGAATTTAGATAACTCAATTATCTTAGTTACAGGAAATACATAAAATATTATAAAGCACTCCAAAAACATAATAAAACATTACAGATACCCCACAAATCTTATATCCCTGAATAGCCTGTATCTGAGTGCACAACATATCCGAAAAGCGCTCAGATTGGTTTGGTGGAACGGGATCGGCCATGAGGTGATGCTCCAAAAGAGTTCCAGAGAATCCAGGTCAGTGGCCGGTCTTTGTTTGAGAGTTCCTGCGTGAACACCGACTAATTCTCCACCTAGCTGTTAGGTAGCAAATGCCCCCCCCCCCTCCCAGTCAGTAGATCCTATCTCCTGAGCGTGGTTCGTCTTGTCGGTCGGGAAAGTATACAGGCAGCAGTACCATCCTGACCTGGGTTCGCAAGAACGTGTAGCCAAAATAACTTTCCACGCACTCGACGACCAAATACCACTGACTGTCTTCGGGAGACAAAGCAGCCACCCAGGGAAAGCACTCAAGTTAATCCTTTAATTGTGGTTAACAACCAGGGCTGGTCGGTGTTCTAAGTCAATAATGAGGTGGACCACACAAGTTCTGTTCAGTTCCCGAACAGGCTGATACGATAGTGTTTGGGAAAATGAAAGATGGGTTCGGGCAACTTCTGGGACTGATACTAGGTCCGCCACACAATTTGTAAAGTTTTCTTGTGAATTGTAGAAACTCTATACGTTGAAAATCACAGTGGGAAGACGCTGAACGTCCATAGGAAAGCATTGAGTAATGCTTTCCTACTCTTGCCGCGCATGAACATTATGAGTTGAGAGGCGGATCGGGGAGGCGAGATCCCCAGCGCCAAGGGAGTCCGGCGCTGGAGAAAGGCAAGTGCTAAAGATACACACACACACACACACACACACACACACACACACACACACACACACACTCTCAC